CAACACATACACATATGCACACACCTATGAGCAGGTGGACATACCTGCAAGCACAGCCCTAACTTGGAGAATGGCCTTCTATCTCTATCTCTAACTCCATCTCCATCTCTCTCTCTCTCTCCACCTCCCACAGGAAAAACAACTTGCTGAAGGTTGGGCAATCTACTTCCATAGTGATACTGCCTTGGAAACCCAAGGAGGGGTCGCTATGAGTTGGATCCAACTCGATGGCACATAACAACAACAAGGATCATGAGGAAAGAGGGAAAAGGAGGCATGCACTCCTATCAAGCTCTCATTTGGAACGTTTACTTGTTCAGCTATAAATAAAGTTGTACTTTGATTTTCATTCTGGCTTTTTGCTGTACAGAACCTGAGAACCCTCTAAAGAAGTATGGAGATGGGACAGGGAATGACTGATAGGACAAGATTTTGGCATTCCTAGATGCCTAGCCATAGTAACATTAAAATAGACTCAAGAACAATCCTCTTTGCCTCTAATACTGAAATTTGATCAAAATTTTCAAACCAAATAGAACTTCTGTCACATAATGTTGTCACTTGCCATGGAGTCAGCTCTGACTTGTGGTGACCCCATGTATAATGGAATGAAATGTTGCCCAATCCTGCATCATCTTGAAGATTGTTGGTATTTTTTACTCCATTGTTGCGGTCATCGTTTCCATCCATCTTATTGAGGGTTTCCCTCACTTTTTTTGGCCCTCCACTTTACCAAACATGGTAGCCTTCTCCAGTGATCAGTCTCTCCTAAATGAGCAAGTCAAACTCTTGGCCAATATTCTGTGATCCATAGAATTTTCATTGGCTAATTTTCAGAAGTAGATGGTCAGGTCTTTCTTCTTAGTCTGCCTTTGTCTGGAAGCTCTGCTGAAACCTGTCCACCATGGGTGACTCTACTAGTATTTGAAATATTGGTGGCCAAGCTTCCAGCATTCTAGCAATACACTAGATACACAGTATGACAAATTGTCAGATGAGTAGTAGCGGTCATATAGTAGCTGCTATTTTTGCAACCTACCTGTGGAAGAATGTTTCCCTCAACAGATAATCATTTCAAACTTGGCATCAAAAAATCTTCATTATCACAATTTCCCCCATTCACCTTGAAACTATCTTCTGTCAGAATGAAAAAAAAAAAAAAAAAAAAACAGCTGAAGGGAAAGACTCACATCCATCATCATATCAGGATACTGAAAATGTACCACATGGACCAAATAAGGATGGAAAGACCCAGGTGGGAAAGGTTGTATAAGTCTTTGCCCTGAGAATCCAACACCATGTTGAATCCCACTCATGTCTATACTCTTATCCCTTTACAGAGTTTTTGTTTACTGATGAGAGGTTTTATGTTTACTGTTCACCTATAAGAGCAAACTCATTTTAATAAAATATCATGATGTCACTTCCACTACCCTGCCATGTGACATACCAAAGTTCACTGACAGTCATTTTTTAGTAATAAATTCTACCTAGTCTAAATAGAATGGACTTTATGGCAAAGCTATCAAATTACTACAATCCTCTCGACACTTATTTTTGAAGAGTTTATCTGTGGCATCTTAATACCTTCCTAATTGTTACATTTACAAATAATAAAGGGTAAAGTGATTTTTCAAAGATTTAGTTTAACCAGATATCTTGAAGTTAAAACACCTACCACACTTTATCTTCTTAATAAATGTCAAATCCCAATTCATCTCAAAGGAAATTTTGTATAACTGAATATTGTTTGAGACAAAAATGGTACAAGAGGGACTTGAAGACTTTTGCTCTGATGAGGTTTGTTGATTTAGTTTGATGTAAATATTTTTTATTCTTATTGTTATCATAGTTCAAGCTGTATGAAATCACTCATCTTCATGGTAGCCACAAAATAGGCTTAAAATACATTAAGAAATAAAGTTTTAATGAACATGTTTTTAATAAAAGCAGATCCTGAAGCTTTTGGTAAATTCAAATTTAAATAGATCAAGATATAAACAAGTAAAGTGACAATTGAGATTAATAAATATCCAAGTATTTTCCCAGAAAAAATAACATGAAACACACAGCAAAGCAAAAATACCCAATAGATAACCTATTATAATTCAGGGTGGACCCCATTGTTGTATCACACAAAGAAGGCCTCAGTCCCCCTGCAAACAAAGTAATGAAGCTGGGTTGCATTCTTTTCCAGCAAGAAAATTCTATGAGACTATGAACATGCAAAGTGGGTAGAAAGTTAAAAAAATAATAATAATTAGCACTTAATTTCACTGGGAGTTTTAAGTGGCCTTATACCAACTTCACCATAAAACATGAGAAAGCATAAGAAAATATGTAAATTCATGCTGTTTTCCTTCACATTTATGTCATCTTCTCATTCCAGGATTGACATAATGAAAATCAGAGGTACTATTCTTTCAGTAATTTTTCACCTGGCACTGCATTTATTATCAGCAACAGCCTCAATCTAATAAGGATCTGATAAGAACAATTGAAAAGTTGTAAGATTTTAATTAAAAACATGTTTATAGGTAATATATAGATAAATGTTTCATCCCAGTGTTCACACATCTTCTGCTGCTTTTCTTCAGACCCTCAGATGGCATTCCTTGTAGGGTGATAACAGTAGCTGGCCTAAAAAGTCAGGACACTGGACTAATCATGATAGTAGTAATATCTCTACATGCTTACTATTTCCTATGATTCACCTCCCACTCCCCTACCACTAGAAAACCTATTTTTTGGGGAAAAAATAGTTTAGAAATCCTAATTGGAAATATATGAAAGGAGAACTTAGGGATTTAAACATTGGGAACTTAAAAGTCTATAGCCTCGGCACTTATGTATGTATGTTCATTGTTGAAATATAAAGTTGCACTATGTATGACCCCATAGAGCATAACAAATGATAACAAGAAAAAAAGAACAGACTATCCTTTCTAGCCCTTGTTGTTATTGTCATTGTTAGTCACCATGGAGTCTGCTCCTACTCATAGTGACCTTATATACAACAAAATAAAATGTTGCTCAGCCTTATGCCATCTTTGTTGCTATGGTCCTCATCTTCCAGCACTTTATTGGACAAGGTTCTGTTGTGATCCATAAGGTTTTCAGTGGCTAATTTTCAGAAGTAGGTTGCCAGTCCTTCCTAGTCTGTCTTGGTCTGGAAACTGCTGAAAACTGTCCACCATGGGTAACCCTGTTGATATTTGAAATACTGGTATTATAGCTTCCAGTATTTTAGCAATCCTCAAGCCACCACAGTACAACAGATAGGTGGTGTCTAACCCTTCTAGGCTTTTGTAATTCTTAACAAATCTGAGTTTCTGTATCTCAGTTTGTAGACTTAAGGAAAGACAAAACTATTTCTGAAGAGCCAGCTGGTTCAATAAAAGCAAACAGAGGCCAAGGGAGAGGTGGTGGGGGGAGAGAAAAGAAGAGGCTGCCTTTGCAAGTTGTCCAAACCACAGCACATCTGCCCTAGTAACAAGCCACTAGTGGATCTGTGAAGATTTGTGGATGGATCTGTCACCAGGAGTATGTGACTGTGTACATTAGCTGGCAAAGCCTGACAATGCAGGAGCCGAGTGTCAGCCAGTGGGTTAAGATCACACTACCAAGGGCCCTAATCTTTGCCCTGCTCAGTGAGCCTGAAAAAACTATTCCATCTCTCTGCAGCCCTCTCCTCCTTGATCAGTAAAACATGGGCTGCAATAATAACTGTCTGACAAAACTCTTAGAGGATTTACTAATAATCATGATAATAAAATACTTAAGAAATGGAAGTGCCATAAAAATGTTAAATTATGAGCCAGACCCACCAGCACAGTCCATTTCTTCTCTGATATCATTAAAATATGTGCACGGGCATATCACCTCTTTCAAGATGCCAGAGAGACAGTGGCTTGGATAAAATTTTTCTTGCCTAAGAAGGCTAACAGGAAATGCTTCATTTAAGCATTTCACACACATTCTCTCATTAAAACTTCACAATAAGCTGTGAGACAAGAGGGATACATACTACCATACCCATTTTATGGCTAAAGGAACTGAGGTCCAGAAAGATTCAACAGCTTACTCAAGATCACCTATCTGATAGAGGCAGAGTCCCAGCTGGAGTTCAGGTTTTCTCAGTCCTAGTTCTGCCTAAGGCACTTGACTGCTACCCAGAAGGCTACTGGTTCAAACCCACCAGCCACTCCTCAGAAGAAAGATTGGGCAATTGACTTCCATAGTGATACTGCCTCAAAAACCCAAGGAGGAGTCACTGTGAGTCAGATCTGACTCAATGGCAGTTGGTTTTGGTTTGGTTGTCCTGTATGCATTCTAATTTGCTGTCTCTCAAAATGGGAAGGGCAATAAATTGATGAAGGAATTATTGTTATTATTTGCTGAGTGCTCGCTGTATTACCATGCATTATCTCATTTAATCTTCTTATGATACAGGTACTGTTTCTTAAGGAAAGCTTCACTGACCACCTCAGTCCAGAAAGAGGATTTCTTCTACAAAATTCTAAAATCATTTTTGCTTACAATATTCATTTGATATATAATATGGATGGTCCTTTATTTTAGCTAAGGTTTCATATGCATACTGTATTGCAATATCTTGGAGAACAGGAATCATCAATCTTTGTACCTCCCGTGGCACTGAGAATAGTGCAGTGTGTATTATAGATGCTCAATTAATATTAGTTACTTGAATGGTTACATGGTTATATATAAAAAGTATTTATATGGAGCCAAGCTTCATGATAATAAATGTGTTACAGTCCAGAAAATGAGAAGTCTCATCTCTTCAATTATTTGGCCAAACCTTACTTTAGCTGATTACATTTCTGCTTTGCGCTATTTTAACTCTCTGCTATAGTTTCAAAATGTATATTCCTGAGGTGCAGAATTTGCCTGTGGGAATCAGGCTACCAAGAGTAAATCAAATACCCCCATGTGACTGATCTGATCCACCAAACCCACTTTGCCTGATGTCTCCTTACCTGATAACATACTGTCTGTTTTTATGGAGGGAAACTTCAAAGTCATTTCATGCTTGTGCCTATGAATCATCAGATGGTCCTCTGTTGGGAAGCGCTGTTTGACAAATAGGGGGAAAAAAAAAAAGTGGGGCGGGGGAGTGTGGAAAAAGAAGCATTTAGTTTTGTAATACATATTTGCCATCATAGGAAAAAAAAAATATTCAGCATTGAAAACCTGACAAGCAAAACAAAAAATCAGTTCTGAAGAAGTGTGAAAGCATGAATAAGTAAATTACAAGTTATTTTATGTAAGGAAAATGTGTTGGGATGTTCCTTTGAATTACAACCAAATATATGCATCCTTATTTCCATTATCATTTACCAAGGATGTTAACTATGTTGTGGAAAAATTTGGCTGAATAAGCAATAGGAGACCTTTGTCTTCCATCATTTTCTGATTCCCCACATCTTCCCTGGGAACTGAAAAACCCAAACTGGTTGCCAATGAGTTGAACTCATGGTGGCTGCATGTGTGTCAGAATTCTACCACATTCCATTGTGTTTTCCATGGCTGTGATCTTATGGAAATAGAATGCCAGGCTTCTCTTCCATGGCATCACTGGCACCAACCTTTCAGTTAGCAGCCAAGCACAAACTATTTGTGCCATCCAGAAACCTTACTTCCTAGAAAATGCCTGAATACAACCAACTGTGATGCCTAGTAAATAAATGATATATTTCCTTGAGAACTTAAGGATGTGTTTAGTTAAAATGTAAAACAGAAAGAGGTAGTGAATGATATTGAAGGTATTAAAATAACATACACAGCAGGAATATTCTCTAATTTCATACCTACCAATGTTAGATAGCTTCTTTAAAGAATAAAAGAGTGTTTAAATGAATTTTATTTATGGTCACAAGGAAGAATTAATAATGAAAGCATGACAAAAGTAAAATTCTCTCATTTTTACATGAGAAAACCATGTCCAAAATAAGAAAGGGTATCTAGACCTGAGTAGCACCAGAATTTTGCAAAACCATTTGGAATTTTTCTCTAGTAGTTACTGTTCAACATAATAGTGTAAAATTAAGTCTAAGGCATATCGATATGTATGCAAGACATTATCTATAGATTAAAAGTAGGAGAAATGCATGAAGTGGGAAAGGAATCTTGATTCATGTCAGACTTTGGGAAAGAATTACATGCCATGCTTAATTATCTGGCATATGCAGCTACAAATATATACCATGACATTTGCATAATATGTTTCTGTTTATGAAAACCTTGCACATCCATTATCTGATTTTTTTCTAATTGTACATATTTTATAGTAACATGACAAATTATTTTTAGTATTCTGTACTCTGTGTAGTAAGTCAGCACTTTATTTTTAATTTTTAATTGTCAGAGGATGAGATTATGGTTGTCACAAATTCTGCTCCCAAGTATTTTTAGCTGTCCAACTTCTGGTCATGTGGTAGGATTGTACATCTGGGCCCTCATGTGGTTAAGTGGCCATGTGACTAGTTCTTCCCATTGAATTATGAAAAGAAGGGACACATCACCCAGGTAAGAAAATTTAATTTCTGATTCAAGTCTCACTAGTGCTCTCCACTTGCTTTGGCATGATGAGTTACAATACTGGAAATAATGGGCCCTCCATTATCCTAAGCCTCTGAAAGATTATCAAGAAGAGAGTCCTCTTGTCAACTTACCTTAGAAATGTGTCTTTGGGCAATAGAAATAAACCTTTGTTTTTTTAAACCATTGAAACTTCGTGATAATTTGTTATTTCAGTAGATCCTTGCCTATTCTGACTCAGATTGGTATGTTTTTAATAACTGAACATACCACAATACATGTTTTATCAAAGTCAAATGAAAAGACAATAAATTCTACTGAACATTTCTGAATCTTTCTTTGACAATTTAGGAGATCTTGCATAGTGCCTAAGGCACTTGACTGCTAACCAGAAGGCTGGCAGTTCAAACCCACCAGCCACTCCTTGGAAGGACGATGGAACAATCTACTTCCATAGTGACACTGCCTAGGAAACCCAAGGAGGGTTCTTCCACACTCCCCCGCCCCCTTTTTTTTTCCTATTTGTCAAACAGCGGGTCCGAGTCAACGGCAAACAACAACAACAGTTTCTCAGCATAGTTATTGTAAGCTTTGTTGTTGTTGTTGTTGTTATGTGCCGTCGAGTGGGCCCCGACTCATAGCGACCCCTCCTTGGGTTTCCGAGGCAGTATCACTACGGAAGTAGGATTGCCCAACCTTCCTTCCGAGGAGTGGCTGGTGGGTTTGAACCGCCAGCCTTCTGGTTAGCAGTCAAGTGCTTTAGCCACTATGCTACCAGAGCTCCTTTGTAAGCTTTAGTAACCATTATATAATGTGGTAGAAATCTTTTCTGAAAATTATATCATTTTGTGTTCATGAGAATGAGGGAATTTACTGGGCTGAAACTATGGGATATACTAAAAATAGTTCTTCACATAAACAGCACATGTTTACTTGCCATTTGTATTGTATAATTCGGAGAACACAGAATTTGAAATTAAAAAAAGATAATTACGCCAGATTTCTGAGTATACAAACATTTTATTTAATAATGACATGTGGCCTTTTGCTGCTGCTTCATCTATTTTCATGATGTTTTCTAATATTATATAATGACTACATCAAATATGTGATACAACCACTACCTATGACTTACAGACATATATTAAATGTCCCAGTCTTTTGTCAAAAGCCTTATTAAAAATTTTCTGTGACATATATAACAACAAACCATTTGGTAACATCCTTCCTTTCACATTTGTAAACCATTTTTGGCTTTGTGAAAACATGGCCTAAAATGGCACAGTGACCAGAATACTTATTAAATAATAATAATAATTTCCATAATGTCTAATATTAATTATAATTACCTTCCCAAAGAGACAATATAGAACTTCCATGCTTTAAAAAAAAAAAAAAAAATTCACTGCCATCGCTTCAATTCCAACTCATAGCAATCCCCATTGGGTTTTCAAAGCTGTAAATCTTTACAGAAGCAGAGTGCCTCATCTTTCTTCCATGGAGCAGCTGGTGGGTTTGAACCAGTGACCTTTTGGTTAGCAACCAAATGTCTTAACTACTATACCACCAGAACTCTTTAAAAAAAAAAAAAAAAAAAAAAAAAACTAGGTAGAAAAAGCAGCAAATTGTAAATAAGTTTACAACAAATATAGAGCTGGGAGAAGCCACTGGATTCAAAACATGGTTAATGGATAAATGAAACAGTGAAATTAGCACTGGCTCTATGAGATTAGAAAGAGTAAGAAAAGCTTGTTTCTCTTTAATTCTTAGACAAAGATCAGTAAAAAGTTCATTAAAAGTCACCCATGTATCACAGATTATTCCTAATATAGCCAGGTTTCTTTCCAATGAGGAAAAAAATGAGGGAAAATCCTTTCAATGCCCCCAACTCAATGCAAGCACTCACTGACACCTAATGTTTACTCCCCTTTTCTATTCCAAGTCACCTTTTTTTCTCCATGAGTGTTCCCAGGCCATGGAATGTAGCTGAAGTCAGTGTCATGATCATGGTGACTGGCTCTACTGGGAGTTCCTAATACCCCACCAAGAGAACCTTGATACCATAAGGAAGCTACCACATTTCCTTGATTCTAATATGTCATCATTTGAAAGATGCACCATGTCAAGAAAAAGGAAACACTTAACATTTAATACACATGGTGATTTTTAGATGCAACTTTATATCTAAATGTGTGTTGGGGATAGCATGGAATTATACCTTAAAATTAATAAAGAATTCCCATATGTAGGTCCAAGCTTTTCTTTAGCCCAAAAGCCTTCTCAAGAAAATGACTCGTTCTTTCACTGAGAAGTTCAAGATCATTCAAAATATACTCCTTTAACCCTTATCACCACCTCCACCTCAGAATTCTCTTCCTATTTGCATATGTCTCAGAAAGAATAAGTACCCTCACTTCTTCTGGGGTTTGCTATTCAGTTATGGTCCTTCATGCTAGCATTCTGTCTCTTTCTCTCATACTGGTTTCTTGCTCTTGACTAAATCCAATCCAGCTACCTCTTAATTTAAAAAGATTCTTTCTCCAGCTGCCTCTCTCTCAGGCCACCATTAGATCTCTCTGCTTCCCTTCACTGCCTAACACTCTTGAAAGAGTCCTCTATACTTGTCCTCTATACTTTCCACCTCCATTTCCTCCCACCCACTCACTCGTTAATTCCTTGCAATCTGGCCTCCGCTCCTGCTCCTCTCTCATAGGTTGCCAGTGACCACCTAACTGCCAAGTCCAACAGCCTCAGTTCAGCCCTCACATTACCCTTGCTCTACTTTGTCTGCCACCAGTGACTACACCTCTGTGCCATTTATTTATTTATACCCCACTTGATTCCAAAAAGGAGTTAAGATAGGTTATAGCAATAGAGTAGGAGAGTATCACTTAGAAGTAAATGACCCCAAAAAGGGAAGAGACCAAAAAAGAAAAGAAGCTAATGCCAAAATGCAAACCACTGAGCAGTGGTTCTCAGCTGGGGGTGATTTTGCCACCCAGAGGACACTTGCAACGTCTGGAGACATTTTTTGTTGTCTTAACTGGGAAGGGCTACTGGCATCTAGTAGGTAGATGCCAGGGATGTGGCTAAATATCCCATAGTGCACAGGATAGCCCCCTAGAAGTAAGATCAATAGTGCCCAAGTTTGGCCCAACAGTGCCCATCTAGTCCAATAATTGTCCATAGTTCTCTTTTTTCTGACTTATTTAAATATTAAATATGAGTAACAACCTCTTCTTTAAACTGGTCTCTTCTCCTGTTAGTCATAACCCTGATATGGCTGGGCACCCAAACTCACCCTGGACTTTTGAGAATCCCATTCCCTTAAATGCCCTTTCCTTAGAAGAGCTTTCCATTACCCACCCCTCAAGTAAAATAAACCCACCCATGATACTCCTAAAGAGTCCTGGTGGTACCGTGGTTAAAGACTTGGCTGTTAACCAGAAGGTCAGCTGTTTGAACCTGCCAGTCATTCCATGGGAGAAAGTTGTGGCAGTCTTCTTCCATAAAGATTTACAGCCTTGGAAACTCTATAGGGCATTTCTACCCTGTCCTATGAGGTTGCTATGAGTTGGAACTGACCCTACAGCAATGGATTTATTTTTCTTTTGGTTTATGGATACTCTTGTAAAGTGACATTTGCACTTCCTTCATAGAAAACTGTAATTAACTAATTGATTGATTAATTAATCATGTGTTTCTGAGTTTGATGTGTCAACCAGAAGCTCTGTGAGAGCAGGGATATATCTGATTTGTGCACTACTCTTTCCCCAAAGCAACTACAGTGCCTGGCACAGAGGAAACTCCTGAAAAATGTGTTGAGTGACTTGAATTGAATAAAATTTTATGTTACATTTTCAGAGTCAAAGCAAAGCACACTGCTCAAATTATTTGATTCTCTTTGGCTTTAAAGATTTCTTTTTAAAGAAACTGAGTGCAAATCAATTTTCCCTTAGTTAGATAAGGCGATTTTCTGCATTCTCAATGGTTAGTCCTGGTTGAGCAAGCTTTTTCCAAATTACTTATCAACCCATCCGTGTTTTCCTATTTCAGAATGACCTCCAAAACCAATTTACTTTGAAATATTTGTACTTCAAAAATAATTTTATCTGCTGTTTTTCTTATTTGTAAGTTGGAAATAAACATTCACACAAAAGCTCCTGCTGAACCTGCTGGGAGTTGAGCAAAGGATCCAAGTTGCTCCATTAGCTGCTGATAAAATCAGCAACACCTCAAGGCAGCCCCAGCAATAATGTCTAATGTTTCTATGGCATCTTCCCCTCAGAAGGTTCTCAAAATGTTCCCCAGACTCTCTGAGAAGATGTAATGAGAAAGATCCTCAGTGGGTGTCACCTCTTATCTTCAGTGACTTTTAGACACTGTTCTATACTGTACTGCCAACCCTACCACATAAACAAACATTCAAGAGAGTGGGAGTTTATTCCACTTGAAACTACTGGTCAATTTAGAAAAAGAGTGCCTAATTGTGTGCATTGGTAACATGTCTATACTCTGAGGTCTAAGCTAAAGCGAAGATCTATCTTGACATGAAAATGGCTACATGTGGTCATTGGTTTCAATTTTCCAAAGACCAAAATGTGGAGACAACCCAAGAGTCAATGTGAAGAAAATTATTACCAGGTTCTACAGATAAAATGCAAAACTTTGATTTTAGGTGATGAGTATTTCCAACTGCTTTCAAAGAGATAAGTTTGAGTATAATTGTAACAGCAGCAGCAGCAGCAGCAGCAGCAGCAGCAGTAGCAGCAGCAGCAGTAGCAGCAACAGCAACAACAACCCATTGATTGAGCACTTACTATGAGCAAGCCCTATACAAACACTCTAAGGGCATTATCTCATCTAATGCTCATAGCAATTCCACTTAGTAAGTGCCACTGGAGGCTAGAAGAGGTTTAATCCAGCACAACAGGTCAACTTTATCTCTTGAAGTTCAGATAAACAGGAAAACTGTGGGTTCTAGAAAAGTTATGCTGTTGTTAGCTGCCATGGAGAAGACCCTTGATTCATGGTAACCCTATATACCATGAGATAGAATCTTTGGGATCCACAGGGTTTTCGATGGCTGATTTTTGGAAACAGATCTCCAAGGCTTTTCTCTTAGACTGTTTTAGTCTGGAAGCTCACTGAAACCTGTTCAGCATCATGGCAACACACAAACTTCCACGGACAGACAGGTGGTGGCTGTGCATGACATGAATTGGCTACGAATCAAATGTGAGTCTCCTGCATGGAAAGTGAGAATTCAACCACTGAACCACCACTGCCCTCAGGAAAGGTATGGGGTGGAGTGGGGGGATATATTACTACTCAAGGGAGAAGACAAAATAGAATTAAACTCAGTCTATGACAGGAAAAGATTTCACCAGCAATTCAAAGGTCCAGTATTCAAGTGGTCATTGTAAAAGCAAGTGGCCTCTTTCCTCCTTTCTGAAACAACAGTCCTACACAGCTGGTGGGAAGGATGCATCTGGCTTACTTTCAGGAGGAAGTTATGAGTGGAAATGGCCAACTCAGTCTGTATAAGGAGTAAGGACAGAAGTAGCTTAACTATTCAAAAAGGAAAATAATAATGATAAAGATGGTGATGATTATGAATTTGGTAGGGAGGGGTATGTTATTAAAGAAAAACTTCCCACAGAGGTAGAATTGTTAAGGTAAAGAGACAGGATTGTTAAGGCAAAAGTTGCTTCCCAGTGGGGGGTGGGGGCATTGCCAGCCAAAGCCAGGGATTCTCACACTCACCTGGGAGCAGCCTGGAGCACTGCAGACGAATGGCCTCTCCTGCTCCAAATTCATCTTGGGTTCCTCATAAATCTGAAGGATCAGGGGGAAAGGGAGGAAGGAAAACAGAAATGCATGAATATCTTCTGTATCTACTTGAGGAACATGAGAAAGGCAATTTCTCAGAGCTCCTTCCTCCCTTCAATTCCTAAATTAGGCAAGAAAAATGTTAACATACACAAGCCCCTGCATCACTGAAGTTCATTATGCTCTCTGCAGTCTGCAGTTTATTGAGCTTTCTTGAGTGCATTTTTACTTTGAAGAAAAAAATACCATGAGGCTGTCGCAGCAGCAGTCCTGCCCATAGAAAACTATCTGGTGAGTGTTACTACCAAGTAAGATCCCCATTTGTGCAAGAAGACTCTGAGGGAAAGTGTGCATCGGTGTTCTTTGGGTACTGCTGAAAGGCTTCGGGGTTGGCTACTTAGACAGGTATTTCATGATACCTCAACAAACGTTATTCGGGTTATATGAGACTAAAGTACAAATCAGAAAGCACGAAAAAACATTATCTTTGAAATTTTGTTGATTTGGTTTTATAAGCTGTTTTGGAATGAATGTAAGAATAAGGCTGCTGGCTCTAGATAAATTATCTGGAATAAAGTAGATTTGCAGGGAGAAATGTTTATGTTACTATCTCAGATACACATTAAATTATAGTGAAGTTATTTCTTACATAGGAGTTAGGTCCTAAGGTGAGGACATTAGGCCAAAATTGAGTGTAGTGAAAATTTCCTTTTGCAAATACCCCAAAAGCCAATAAAACTATAATATATATAGCTTTGTGGTTACCAATCTGTACAGAAACATAACATTTTACCAAATTTTCTAAGAAGTGCTACGTAAACTTAAGTTACATAATTCAAATCATATTCTAAATAAGATTTTCCTTTTCACCAATTTGTAGAGTTGAGCTGATATAAGTTAAATATGGTGCTGATGAACCATGGCTGTCTTACTGAACTAAAACCTGATGCTTTTCCTCTGAACACAGGAAACAATTTGCTTCCTTACAACAGCGTTACTGAAGATGAAAAATAATTACAGGGTAACCACAAAGAAAATTAATAAAGCTTCTAACCAAAATAAGGAAGAAAATCATAAGGACTCAGTAAACACAAAATTAATAACAAGGAAGAAAGAGAAAAGAAAACCTGATAACAAAATGAACTCACCATAAACAAATTCAGAACAAAGAAATCATCAACACCACAATGAAAAACACAAAAGAATGACAGCAGTAAATTCATACCTATCATTAATTACATTGAATGTGAATGGATTAAATGCACCAGTCAAGAAAAAGAGAGTGGCAGATAGGATAGGAAAACATGACCCATCAATATGCTGCCTACAAGCAACTCATCTTAGACATAAGATAAATATGAATTAAAAATCAAAGGATGAAAAAAATATATACATATCAAGCCAATGGCAACCAAAAAAGAGCAGGAGTGACAATGTTAATTTCTGATAAAATAGACTTCAAGGCAAAAACTAGCATTAGTGACGAGAAAGAACATTACATGATGATGAAAGGGTCAATCTAGCAAGAGGACATAACCATAATAACTATCTATGCATCCAATGAAAGAGCTTCAAAATACATAAAGCCAACATTACCAGAATTGAATAGTGAAATAGATAATTCCACAATAGCAGTAGGAGACTTTAACATACTACTTTGGATGAAGGACAAAATAACTAGGAAAAACTCAGCAAATATACAGAAGATCTCAATAACACAGTCAGCCAACTTGACCTCACAGACATACACAGAACACCTCACCCAAGAAAACATAATACACATTCTTCTCAGTGCATATCGATTTTTCTCAAGAATAGGCCATATGTTAGACCACAAATCAAGTCTCAGCAATTTATTTTTTTTTAAATTGTGATTTGGCTGAAAGTTTACAGAGCAAATTCACTTTCCATACAGCGGTTCACGTACACTTTGTCTCATGACATTGACCACAATTTACCACAATGCAACAGCTCCCCTCCCACTTCACCCAGATAGGTTACCTCTTCCCTGTGTCCATCCCTCTGTGCACTCCTGCCCCCTGAGCTGTCTCCCTGTGCACAAACAGCCTTTCTTTCTCCCATGATTGTTCTCTACAAGGAGTGCATCTACCTCAGGTAAATGTTGAACTCATATGTCTGTCTTTTGTTTGGCTGGAAGCCACATGTGTGGTTCAATTCCAGACCTGAAGGGCAGCTAGTGGCCACATTCTCAGTGGTTCCACCAGGCCCTATCAGACCAGCAAACCTGGTACCCCTTTTTTTTTTCTAAATTACTTTGAGTTTTGTTCCACATTGTTCTCCATCTCTATTCAGGATCTCCTACATAGATGCCCCTCCAAGTGGTTGACAGTGGTAGCCCAGCACCATCTAGTTCTTCTGGTCTCATAGTCGTATAGTATGAGGATCACATGGTGTACCAGTAGCTTGGACTAATTGTTTCCATGAATCTTTGGTTTTCTTCATTCTTCTTTGCTCTGGATGAGGAGAGACCCATCTTTGCATCTAGATGGCAGCTTGCAAGCTTTTAAGATCCCAGTCGCTACACGCCAAAGTAGGAGGTGGAACAATGCTTTGTGTAGTATGTTATGCCAATTGAAGTCTCAGTAATTTTAAGATATCAAAATACTATAAAGCAACTTCTCAGATCACAATGCTATAAAATTAGAAATCAATAATAGGAAGATTGTTGTTGTTGTTGTTGTTATGTGCCGTCTAGTCGGCCCCGACTCATAGCGACCCCTCCTTGGGTTTCCGAGGCAGTATCACTACGGAAGTAGGATTGCCCAACCTTCCTTCCGAGGAGTGGCTGGTGGGTTTGAACCGCCAGCCTTCTGGTTAGCAGTCAAGTGCTTTTAGCCACTATGCTACCAGGCTCCTAATAGGAAGATTAGGGGGAAAAATAAAATATATGGAAACTGGATAATATCCTACTCAAAAACTAGTGAGCAATAGCAGAAATAAAATGTGAAATAACATAATGCTATGTGTAGGTAATTCCAGAAGGGCTCCCAAGTCACCTGTGCCCCTGAAAAAGGGACAACTGCTTCAACTCATGGAGCAGTAATCTTTTGTCTAAAGGAAGCTTTTGTATCTTCCAACCAAAATCAATTTCTACTTTGTATTTCACATATATTCTTTTCATATATTCACATATATTCTTTTCATATATTCACATATATTCTTTTCATATATTCACATATATTCACTTTTTTGAAATATGAAGTGAAAATACTTGCCTTATCTGCCAGTCAGATATTATAAACAAAACAAATGTTTTAAAAATGTAGATGCTCTTCACACGACTATTACTTATACAGTCATACAAGTTTCACAAGGAGAAGCCCTTTTCACTGTGAATTTAGAATGTGTTCCCACTGAACACCTATAAATATAGTCAGTCACTTAGAATAATTTTACAGCTTTCCTATATCAAGAATATTGTCAAAACTCTATTATTGTATTATATTTAGAGGAAGATATTTAGACTCTTTTTCCACTTGCCCTTGTCTAAGGAAAGTAATTAGAATAACTGCTCATACCTTCCTCCTCATTTGCTTTTACCATTACTTAGCATAGAGCACCCCTTCTCTCCCCTGTGAATACTGACAATATATTTCTAAGTCTCAAAATAAAGGGTGACTTTAATGCTAAGAAAATGATTTTGATCCAAGATAGAATAAACAGCAGAGTAATTGGGTTATTCATTTATTAAATATGCCATGTTTTTCTAGTAATTTTTTTTTTTCATTGCTTTCCTGGAACTTCTTTGCCTCTGTGGGTGTGATCTGAGTGACCATTACTAGATCATTTAATTGCTTCAACCCTCAATTTCCCCTCTTTTACAAGAGGGGTATGGGTCTCAAGGAGCTCTGGTAGTGCAGTGGTTAAAACATTTGGCTACTTATCAAAAAAAGTAAGTGGTTCGAACCCATGATCTGCTCTACAGGAGAAAGATGTGGCAGTCTTGGTTCCATAAAGATTTGTAGCCTGGAAACACTATGAGACGGTTCTGCTTTGTCCTATAGGGTCACTATGAGTTAGAATCAACTCAATGGCCCTGGGTTTGTTTTTTGTTTCTTTTTTCATGGAGCTCAATCTTCAGTTCCCTTAATCCTATGTCATATTTATCAGTTAGGAGGGTTGCAAAATATTTACAAATAATGGAGAAAGGTCTGTTTGTGATTGAGGTGGGAAAGAGATAAACATTATTAAGACCTCACTCTAGGAGTTCTGGTAGCGTAGTGCCTAAGGCACTTGACTGCTAACCAGAAAGCTGGCGGTTCAAACCCACCAGCCACTCCTCGGAAGGAAGGTTGGGCAATCTACTTTCATAGTGATACCACCTCAGAAACCCAAGGAGGGGTCGCTATGAGTCTGATTCGACTCAACGGCACATAACAACAACAACAGCAACTAATATTAATCATTCCCTGTTTATAAAAGAGAATTTGTTATAGCCAAGTCTTTCTTGGCTATCATTTAAGAGCTTTAGTTGCTAAAGTGATGAAAGAATGTCAATATAGAGATTACATGACAGTAGAATGGTAAAATTCCATACTTAAGTATCTATGGATTTCATTGTTGATTAAGCATTAAGTTGTACTTAATGATAATAATTACTGTCCAACCAATACAAGTAGTCAAGATAAGAAGTGCTGCTGCTGGAGATTAAAAGAGATTCATTAATGAGCCAAAATGAGGAAAGCGATTGAACAAGCCCTGGTTTACAAGTATGGCAAGAAAGTTATTTCTACCATAATTATAACTCCATTTCAAACCTAGTCCATCAAAATGGTGACCATCCTCCTAAATCCAAGCCAATTATGGCAACAGATTAGCAACTCTGTTTGAAATCAATATTAGCTACTTATTTTAATTACTAACTACAATTTACATATGAGCTTCAGGAAACAACATGGAATTAGATTATGGTGCTGCTGCTTGGAGATGGAACAAGGTTTAGCCTTACAGATTTTCTCTGTCTTATTGAGTCTTCATGGTATAGA